TTTTATTGATATCTGATATTGGATTGGTCTTTGAGATTGAGTTCTGTGTTGGAAGCTCAGGGGTCGGCTGCATTATACTCAATACGGTTTTTCTATAGAGTGAAAGAAATTAATGCAAATCAGGGGCTCATGGGTTTCTCTTCATCTCTCTCCTCTCTCATAGAGTGCCAATGGGGACTCTATAGAAAAACCGTACTCAATATGATTTTGTTGCCTTTAAAGTTTTAAAGAACTCAATTTTTAACAAATTTACTGAAGTCAATTGAGTTATTAGCTTGGGTAAAAGTGCATAATGTTCTGAGAGAGATGAAGCAATGTTTGGATGCTCTTTTGTTTACTTCATATCTCTATAAAGAAAATATTCTCATTCCCACGTAGAGTTTTCTTTTTAGTTGGTTGTCAATAGACAACTCAGCATTCCATGCCATTGATAAGGTTCTACTCTTTTGGGAGCGCCTACACTAATTTAATTTTGTGGAATACCTACACGAATTTAATTTTGTGGAATACCCCTTAGCCACCCCAGGGGTTTGATTTGATACCCATGGTCCGAAGAATTGGGGAGAAGTTCCCTTTCGTCAAACCACGAAGGGGAAAATTTTTTCCATGCCTTTAATAAAGTTGATCCTATATTTTAGGCTCTTAGATGCCTTTTCTTTTATTTCACGCCATTGTCTGTTGTTTGTAGTTGTTATGGATACATGTTTCAACTATTTTATTTGGTTGTTGAAACATGTCATCAACATCCAATCATGTCCTCAGTAATGATTAAGCCCTTATATATTGCTTGCTACTAAACTTCAAACATTTTCAAATTTGCAGCTCTAATGGCCAAGGACTACAATGGATCTCCCAAGGTTCACCAATTTGAATCGAGAAACAAGAAGATCACTCGAATCTTGATCATAGCCGGTCTTTGTTCGTTTTTCTACATACTTGGTTCTTGGCAAAACAAAACCTCGCCCCTCAAATCCATTCAAACTACATCCAAGAGTCCTGCGTGTGACATCTCATCATCATCATCATCTTCCAATTCCCATAAACCCTCTTCTAACAAACTAGATTTCCAAGCTCACCATCAAGTGGGCATCAATGAAACCTCATTAACTGCTGAAAACTTCCCTCCTTGCGACTTAAAATACAGTGAATACACCCCTTGCCAAGATCCTAGGAGAGCGAAGAAGTTTGAGAAGAAAATGCTTAAGTTTAGAGAGAGGCATTGCCCGAAGAAGGAAGAGATATTGAAATGCCTAATTCCGGCTCCACCAAAGTATAAGAATCCTTTCAAGTGGCCACAAAGTCGAGATTATGCTTGGTATGACAACATCCCACATCGAGAGTTGAGTATTGAGAAGGCTGTGCAGAATTGGATACAGGTTGAGGGTGATAGATTTAGGTTTCCTGGAGGTGGTACAATGTTTCCAAGGGGTGCTGATGCTTATATCGATGATATTGACGCACTTATTCCATTAACCAAAGGGAATATTAGGACTGCAATTGATACTGGATGTGGAGTAAGTCTACTGTAATTCTTTATCTACTGTAATTCTTTATCTTTATCGTTAAATTTTCTATACTGTGGTTCTTGACTAGTTATCTTTTCAGTTAGTACGAGAGTATATTGCAGATAGTTGTTCTAAATATGTGTAGAGATATGAACTTTTTGCTTACCTTTGCAAAGCAAACTCTTGATTTCTTCAAAGTGCAGCAAGGCATTCTTCATATAAATTTACTTCCTGCATGCCAAATCTTATAACTGCAACAACTCTATGCATTGAGCACTAGTTTTTCATTTGTTTGATCAGAATCATGTGCAGTTATCTGTTATTATATTAATATTTTTTATTTACTTAAATGTTAGCTCTGAAACATCTAGCAACCAAAAAAAGAGGATTTCTTTTTATCCTCCGTTGTTGATGGAATTTTCAAACTTCTCATGTTCTATGATTTTATTAAAACTAAAAAGTGCAATAGCCACGAAAAAATTGCTGAAGCACTGGTTTTCTCTAGAAAAATAGATTTTAACATCATTTCATATAAATGTAAACATAACTTTATAGAAAGCTTTATACATGCACACGAAACATGCATATCTTCACTTTTGGGCAAAAGCAGCTAAAGTGAAAAATTATATCTATGGGAATGAAGAATTGGCAAACAGCTAAAGAAAACAACCTAGAAATTCAGCCAGGCAGACTGGCGGTCGATCGCGAGTCAGCGGCGATCGACCGCGAACGTGCACAAGGGTCAGGAAGAGTTGGGAGCTGAAGGCGGTCGACCGTCACGGTCGACCGCGTGGACCAAGCAGCCAAAGAGAGAGAATCATTGCATCCAATTGTGAGAGAGCTTTGAGAGATCTAGAGCTTTGTTTTAGGGTTTGATCGGTGAGATTTGTAACTATATTTGTATTCTCTTGATTTCTAATAGTAAGAACTCCCCCCTCCTTGCCCCGTGGACGTAGGCAACTTGCCGAACCACGTAAATAGTTTGTTCTTACTGTGATTGTGATTTGCTTAGTGGTTGTGATTTATCTCGAGTTATTGCTCGTGTCGCCGCGAAGCTTCCGCCGCGCACAACAGGGAACTTATTCCTTATGCTAGTTTTTCGAATCACTGATTTGCAGTACAAGCATTTCTGGGGGAATTTTGTTTTCTTGTCATGGTACCAGGATTTTTCTTTATATTTCTCTTTAACTAGTTTTTGTCTTATGGTTATTTTTTATTATTGAAGGTTGCCAGCTGGGGAGCTTTTCTTCTGAAGAGGGATATCATAACAATGTCATTTGCTCCTAGAGATACCCATGAAGCACAAGTACAGTTTGCACTTGAGAGAGGAGTTCCGGCTATGATAGGTATTTTGTCATCACAAAGGATGCCATATCCTGCAAGAGCTTTCGATATGGCTCACTGTTCTCGCTGCTTGATTCCTTGGTACGATTATGGTAAGCGACGCAATTGAAGTTAATTTTTTCTATAAGTTGATTGATAAAATCACATGCTAAAACCTCAGAAGTTTTTGTCTCCAGATGGTTTGTATCTAATTGAAGTAGACAGGGTTCTAAGGCCAGGAGGCTACTGGATACTTTCGGGTCCTCCAATCCATTGGAAGAAGCACCATCGAGGATGGGAGAGAACCGAAGAAGATCTCAAACACGAGCAAGACTCGATTGAGGATGTTGCAAAGAGACTATGCTGGAAAAAGGTCATCGAGAAAGGTGATCTTGCAATTTGGCAGAAGCCCATGAATCATATCGAGTGCATTGAAAGCCGGAAGGTTTATGAAAAGCCTCACATATGCAAGGGTGACAACCCAGATGCTGCCTGGTATGATATCTGCTTCAATTTTAATAGTAGATTGCCCGCCCTTCACCCCAACGATTAACTTAAAAGGGTAAATTTCAGAAAGGACAAATTTTTAAAAGGAACCTTTTTTTTCAATTTTATATAGGAAAAACGACCTCATCAGAAAATAATCTGCAAAACCGACCCTTTTCCGAAGAAAAGGGTCGGTTTTGTAGTCGCGAAGTTTTTCGAGCTACACGGGACTGCATGTCCTGTGTAGTTTGGCCAGCAATTGAAATGCACGGGACTAGCAATCCCGTGTTTCTTCTTCTACAATTGATCCCAAGAGAAAATATGGGAAATTTTGTTCAAAAGTTTAAACTGACGATAGTAAATATGGGAAATTTTGTTCAAAAGTTTAACTGTCGTCAGTCATGCTATTTAGGTTAGAAAAGTCCGGGGGGTTTCTACGATTTATAAAGTTAAGGAGGTTCTGTGTGAAATCCCTCAAAGTTCAAGGTTTTCCCTCCTTAAAATAAACATTAACTAATGATTCATGTAGCAGACCCTTAAAATTTAGGAGGCGCTATAGTTATTGTTGTTTTTGTTTTGCCGTCCACTCAATAGTAAAGAAAACATTTGAAATTTTATGTTCATCAGGTACAAGAACATGGAGACATGCATCACTCCATTGCCGGAAGTGAGCAACTCTGAAGAAGTAGCTGGGGGCAATTTAGAGAAATGGCCAGCAAGAGCCTTCGCTGTTCCCCCGAGAATAAGTAGGGGCACAATCCCTGGTGTCACTGCTGAGAAATTTCAAGAAGACAACCAACTTTGGGAAGAAAGAATGGCTCATTATAAGAAAATAATCCCACCCTTGACTGGGGGGCGATATCGGAATGTGATGGACATGAATGCCAAATTGGGAGGATTTGCAGCTGCAATGACAAAATATCCGGTCTGGGTTATGAATGTGGTTCCATCTGAATCGGAGAGAGATACACTAGGAGTTATATATGAAAGGGGTTTTATTGGCACGTATCAAGATTGGTGTGAAGCTTTTTCGACGTATCCGAGGACTTATGATTTGATGCATGCCGATGGTTTGTTTAGCATCTATCAAGACAGGTAAGTACATATTCTTTCATTAATTACTCGCACTTTTAGAATGATCATTATTTCATGCATTTAGATTTTTGCATTGTTGGTGTAGAGGATTAACTTGTGGGCTAATTTAGATTAAATTGAACACAATGTGGACATGAATTTATTGAAATAAGACCTAAACTAGGTATCAAGTAATTGTGTTAAGAAACTGGTTGCCGAATTAGAATAAGACTTTTCTAACGATGGAAAGTTTAAACTAGTGATTTGCTCATTTTCGTTTCGGCTCCACCATCCTATATTTTTCTTTCTTTATATAATTTATGTTTGAATTCTGGTAAGCAAACTAGTAGACTGAAATTATTTAAAGTTGACTACAGTCTGAAAATCTAAACCACCGCCCTTTGAAGATTTAGATCAAGTCTTTTCTACTGATAAAAAGTGGAAACTAGTGATGCCGACCTGTATTCTTTCTGTTTCCTTCTTTTTTCCCCACTTCCTCCACCCTCAGATGTTAATTCCTTTAACGCGTTTTTTGTTTCCCTCAGAAATGAGTTAGGGTTCTCACATCTTATCATTTTCAGTCATTTCTAATCTTTACTGTAAATACTATGGATGAAGTGGACCAAATTTCAGATTTCTGTAACCAAACTAGCTAGAAGATTTAAATTATTTTTGATTAGATTGATTGCTTTACGAAGTACAATATGCAAATCTGAAGAAACAGGCCATTCTTAAATCGCATTATGGAAACCATAAACAAACTTAAATCCAGAAGACCAACCGAAGCATGTACATGATGGATAGACGTATTTATATCTCACCATCTTACATCAGAATTAATTCTTTCAAATTACGTCGCTTTATTGTATCAAATACCGACTCCCTGATATACACCTTCGGTTCTATTTCATCGCAGGTGCGACATAACACACATACTCTTGGAGATGGATCGGATACTAAGACCCGAAGGCACAGTGATCTTCAGAGACACAGTAGAGGTCCTGGTTAAAGTTAAGGGGATAACAGATGGGATGAGATGGAAGAGCCAGATCATGGACCATGAGAGTGGACCCTTCAACCCTGAGAAAATCCTTGTTGCTGTCAAAACTTATTGGACCGCTGAACCCTCTCAAAGCCAGTAACCGAACCAGAAAGAATGAGAATTAGTGTTGAAATGAACTTGTCTTGTTTTCTTCTAGGCTATTCTTTTGAATTTAGTTGATAAATTGATAGTGGTTGGTGCACAATGAAGGGGTCTTGGATTTTCACTTATCCTCACTGCAAATTAGTGTGGAGATTAGTTGGTGTTATAATAGTTGTTAAATACTTTTATATGAGGAGTTGATCATTTGAAGCTGTAATATAGCTTGTAATTTATTTTTCTATATTTCATCATGCTCTTTTGTGTTAAGTCGAATTTTTATCTTTGTGTTCCTGGTGAGATAATGCTGTCCACCGTACCGTAGTGTCATTGATTGTTATGATATTAAACTATAATGTCTATGTTTTTAATGAGTTTTAATTCTAACTACAATGTCTAATTCTATACAAATCAACTGATACATTGATGAAATTATTTTCCTAACATGTTTTTCAATTCTTTTTTCTATTTTATAAAAATGATGTTGCTTTCTCTGTCCCTGTTATAAATAGGGAATGTATTTGAATAACTACATTGTAATTTGTAAAACGTGTATCCAATATGTGATGCAAATGGCTCCTCCACAAATATCTATCCACCATATTATAATTTACAACCTTAAATTTGTATTACAATTTACAACCTTAAATTTGTAAAACATGTATCCAATATGTGATGCCAAGGGCTCCTCCACAAATATCTATCCACCATATTACAATTTACAACCTTAAATATTTGCTTTTTCCAACATTTGGATTTAAAAAAAAGGTTAAAACTAACAAAAAATAGTTTGGAGGTTGGCAAACCATATATATATATAGAGAGAGAGAGTAAAGCTCCTATAAACTTAAGTGGATAGGAGCACTTGCCCACTAAACTTTTTATCCCTTCATTATGCTTTGAGATTTGTTCTACACATCAATGCTATCTTTGAGATTTGTGCCTTCATTTGTATCATATGCTAGCACAAATCTCAGTGCAAAATCAATGGATAAAAAAGTTGGTGGACAAAGAACTCCTATCCGCTTAATTTTCCAGTGAAACCTAGCTTATTTAGATGAACTTATAAGTTAGTTTTTCAAAAGCTGGAGTGTATCAGCTTTTTTAAAAAGGTGCTTATAAGCTAAATTATTTGATATTTTAACAAACAAGTAGATATTAAAAAGCTAGCTTAAAATCTAGTTTGACCAAAAAATAAGCTCCTCAAACACTCTCTTATTAGTCTCGGCACCTTCATAAATGTAGTGTAATCACGTGATTAGCCTATAATAGTAAACAAATCCTATTTTCTTAACTACTTTTCTTTTCTCACCAAAGAAGGGAAGTTCGGAGTATGCAATCACCCACAAGAAGCAATGTAAAGACTAAATGATATATTATTTCTCTAGAAGCAACAAGAGGAAAAAGACTAATTAAGGCCAAAAGTAGTCAGTTTGGCCCATTTGGATCCATCTAACCCCAACCCCCCCCCCCACACACACACACACCACCCACCCACACACAAAAAAAGAAAAATTTGTGTCAAGGCACAAAAAAAACAAAATCTTCATGTGTTGCAGTTCGATCATTTGACTTTTTTCCATGTGGTTCAACCCTTAAATTAGAGATATATGTTCTGCACCCATTTTTTAGCAATTATTACCTGCCAATTAAGTATAGACAGAGAATAAAAAGTAAAAAAAAAAAACCCTAAAATATCCTTGTCTCCTCTATTCTTTCATGTTAAGTCTAAAAGCAAGTTGAATTAGACTTAACATAAAAGTCTATTTCATGTTAAGCCTAATTCGGTGCATGTTAAATCTAATTTTATTCCTTTTAAGTCTAATTTAAATCATATTATGCCTAATTCAACTTGTTTCAGGTCTAATTTAATTCATGTTAAGTCTAATTCAACTCGATTTAAGTCTAATTTCATGTTAAGTTCAATTTAATTCATATTAAGTCTAATTTAATTCCTTTTAAGTCTAATTCAAATCATGTTATATCTAATTCAACTTATTTTATGTCTAATTTAATTGGACTTAACATGAAATTAGACTTTAAAAAGTTGAATTAGACTTAACATGATTTAAATTAGACTTAAAAGAAATTTAACATGATTTAAATTAGACTTAAAAGAAATTTAACATGATTGAAATTAGACCTAACATGAACTGAATTTAGACTTAATATGAATTGAATTTAGACTAAACACGAATCAAGTTGAACTTAACATGAACTGTTATTAGACTTAACATGAACTGAATTTAGACTTAACACGAATCAATTTGGACTTAACATAAAATTAGGCCTAACATGAATTGAAATTAGACTTAACACGAATCAAGTTAGACTTGACATGAAATTAGACCTAACATAAACTGGTATTAGACTTAACATAAACTAAAATTAGACTTAACACGAATCAAGTTAAACTTAATATGAAATTAGACTTAATATGAACTGTTATTAGACTTAACATAAACTGAATTTAGACTTAACACGAATCAAGTTGGACTTAACATAAAATTAGGCCTAACATGAATTGAAATTAGACTTAACACGAATCAAGGTGGACTTAACATGAAATTAGACCTAACATAAACTGGTATTAGACTTAACATAAACTGAAATTAGACTTAACACGAATCAAGTTAAACTTAACATGAAATTAGACTTAATATGAACTGTTATTAGACTTAACATGAACTGAATTTAGACTTAACATGAACTGAATTTAGACTTAACATGAATCAAGTTGGACTTAACATGAATAGTTATTAGACTTAACATGAACTGAATTTAGACTTAACACAAATCAAGTTGGACTTAACATGAAATTAGGCTTAAAAGAAATTAAATTAGATTTAACAACAATCAAATTGTCCTTAACATGAAGTAAAATTGGACTTAACATGAAATTAAACTTAAAATAAGTTAAAATAGACTTAACATGATCAATGTTAAGTCTAATTGAACTTATTTTTAGACTTAAAATAAGTTCAATTAGACATAACATGATTTAAATTAGACTTAAAAGGAATTAAATTAAACTTAATATGAATTATATTAGACTTAACATGAAATTAGACTCAAAACAAGTTGAATTAGACTTAACATTAGACTTAAAACAAGTGAATTAGACTTAACATGAATTAAATTAAACTTAAAATGATTTAAATTAGACTTAACAAGATTTAAATTAGACTTAAAACAATTTAAATTAGACTTAAAATAATCTAAAATAGACATAACACGAACCAAACTGGATTTAACACGAATCAAACTGGACTTAACATGAACTAAACTGGACTTAACATGAACTAAATTGGACTTAATACTTAATTGAATTAAAATTAGACTTAAAAGGAATTAAATTAGATTTATTCGGTTCATGTTAAGTCTACTTTAATTCTTTTTAAGTCTAATTTCATGTTAAGTCCAATTAAATTAGACCTAAAGCAAGTTGAATTAGACATAATATGATTTAAATTAGACCTAAAAGGAATTAAATTAGACTTAATATGAATTAAATTAGACTTTACATGAAATTTGACTTAAAACAATTTGAATTAGACTTAACATGAATTAAATTAGACTTGAAACAAGTTGAATTAGACATAACATGATTTAAATTAGACTTAAAAGGAATAAAATTAGACTTAACATGAATCGAATTAGACTTAACATGAAATAGACTTTTATGATAAGTCTAATTCGGTTCATGTTATGTCTAATTTTATTCTTGTTAAGTCTAATTTAATTAGGTTCATGTTAAGTCTAATTCGGTTCATGTTAAGTCTAATTCAACTTGATTTTAGACTTAACATGAAAGAATAGAGGAGATAAGAGTATTTTAGGTTTTTTACTTTTTATATCTATCTATGATTAATTGGCGGGTAATAATTACTAAAAGTGGGCTGCCATGTATCTCGAATTTAAGAGCTTGACGATAAAAATAAAAGGACTAAAGCACCTAAAGATTTTGCTTTTGGGGGCCTGGACATAATTTTCCAAAAAAAAAAACCATTACTTCCATTTTCTCAGCGCCCCGTCAGTCATCAACCCCCTGAAGCCTAGACTTCCGTTTTCCGCTGAGCCACTGAAGACGAATCCTTCTCCTCAAACTAACCAATATTATAAAAAAGGAAAAGTGAAAAAAAAGGGATAAAGAAACCCTAGAGATCGATCCCGATGGGAGAGAGGCCGCCGGCGACCGACGAGGCGGCGGAGCGAGGGCTGATGGAGGAGGCGACGAGGCTAGGGGAGCTCGCGTGGGAGCGTCGCTGATCTCGAGAACGTGGAACGAGGAGCAGGGACTTCGGCAGCGGGCGCTTGCCCTAGAGTCCGATCTCAAGAAGCTGAAGACCGCCGCCAATTCCGCTATCAGCAGGGGCGAAATCGATCGGAGGAACGCTGAGAAGGTGAGATTTCGATTTCGAAACTAGATCTCGATTTCCAATCTTTTTCGATTTGTTTGCTGGAACTTTTTTTTTAGGAAATTGGAGGCTTCTTGTTTCGATTTTTGACATGCATGCATGTAAACCTAACCTACTTTTGATTGGGCTTTGTTGAATATGTACCGAATTAGATGGGAAAATACCTAAAAAGTCTATACATTTGTATTCATTTTGATGCCCTGAGAGAGAGACATGCATGCATTAATGTTCCGTTGATGTCATGTTGCAACTTGTTTGATGTCCTGGGATTTAGAACAGCATGAATTTTCGTGGGAAAATTATGTTTAGCAGCTGTTTGGTTGCGAGAAATGCTCCCAGAGTAAGTCATGGATGAGGAGCCAGTATTATGTTTATGGATGTGTAGTGTTTGTTTGGTTTCCAGGGGAAAATAGGATATTTTGATTGTTCTCAATTTGGAGCGGCTGGAATTTTCAGTGGAAAACGATGTATAACAGATGTAAGGTTGGAGGAAGCAGGTTAGCCCAAGGAGGGACGGAAGCTTTGTTGTGCTTAGAATATGGAAATTTGAGTCCATTACTATTCGCGATAGCTGGATTTATGACTTGCGATAAGTCTCTGGACTGATCTATTTTCTATACCAACACTCACGGATCATATTGTACGGTCGAAAAATTGACGTTGATTAATTCTATTGTTTTAAGAATGTGTTCGATCACTTAGTACGAATCCCTTACAATCACTCACTCTCTCGATGATGAAGAGAAGATTAATTCGGCTTCTCCTTTTTTAACGTGGGCTCTTGGTGGCGAAATGATGCTTCCATCGATGCTTGAGTCAAGATTGCCTCCCGTTGACGATCAGAACAAGATTGTTGAAGCTTCTGACGTTCGTTAGACTGCTAGAATCGAGGTTCGAATTCTAGATCTGCACGCAGAAACCCTGATCTCTGATGATTCTCGAAGTCCAAATTGCCAAAAAGTCTAAAAGTCCCCACCCCTTCCTCTGTAACCATCCATGGCTATTAATAAGGTTTAAGCACGTAACCGACGTGCTAAGATTACGGGTAGAGGGGCATAACTGCCTCCTTCAAATCAGCACACGCTGATTACTGGAGTGTAACGTGCTCCTGAAGTTTAGCCCACGTGGCTGACTAAGTCTTCGAAGCCGTTATAGCTGGATCTCATGTGGACGACGAGTCTTGTTGTATGGCGAGGTTCGTCAGGTTAGACGAGCCTTGATACATAGCCAAGGTTTTAAATGTCAGATATCGGGTTCATGTCGGATGGCTGAAATTCATGTCGGATAGCGAAAATCGGGGATATATCGGGGGACATTGACTAAATATCGGATTGCCATATCGGATAGTGCGCATATGTATAATATCATGTCCTAAATATAATCTAAGCATTTATAAATTCAATATAAGCATACTTTATAAATTCTATAGACTAAACATATAAAATAAAAAAGTAAATAATATATGGATTTGGGTTCATAAATTCTTTCTATCGGGTTCATAAGAAACCCTTAAACATGAGAACGGGTCAAACGAGTTTGGGTATTTATCACTAAACCCAAACTCGATAACAAAAAACAGATCTAAAAAAAATCATATCGGCCGATTTTTTAAAGCTTAAAAATAGGCCGATATGTCCGATATGACCCTGATATTTTCGATTTAGCCTTAAAAACCGATATACGAGTTAAAAACGTTCATGTCGTGTCGGTCAAACCCTCAAACCGATATGTCGGCCGATATGTCGGACATGTCGGGCGATATTTAAAACCTTGTACATAGCGAGATTTGTCTTACAAGACAAGCTTTGCAGTAGGCGAGGTTCGTCAGGTTAGACGAGCCTCGATACGCAGCGAGGTTCGTCTTACAAGACAAGCTTTGCAGTAGGTGAGTTTCTTCTGACGAACTTTGTCTTCACTGACTTCGTCTGACGAGCTTCATCTTCACTAACGAACTCCGTCTTCGATAACTGGGTTCAACTGCATAGCAACCCTCATAAGCTTCCTTTTGACGAGCTTCGTCTTCACTGACGAGCTTTAAGTCTGATGATAAGCTTTGTCTTCACTGACGAGCTTCACCTCCAATGATGAACCTCGAGCCTCATTTCCAATGACGAACCTCGAGCCTCATTTCCAATGACGAGGTTCGTTTGTTGATGAACTTCGAACCTCGTTTTGAGCTTCGTCTTTTAATGGACTTCGAATCTCGTTTCGAGCTTCGTCTTTTGATGGACCTCGAACCTCGTTTCCAATAACAAGTTTCGTCTTTCAGAGTAGCTTTGTCCACAGTAATGAACTTTGATGTCGAGCTTCGCGACGCAGCGAACCTCGTCTTTTGATGTTGAGTCTCGCTGCATGGTTAACCTCGTAGGCGAAGCTGTCAGGCGAGTTTCAATCAGTGCAGGCGAAGTCCAGTCTTACAGGCGAACTTCAGAACGTGCTACGAAGAACGAGTCGTAACTTTCAAATCGTAAGTCGGAATTAGACGAATTATGTATGAAAATCGACTATCTCGATGAAACGGAGCCGACCAAACCAACCCTAAAGGGTTTGGTTTGCTCCTGTCCGTTTCGTCAAATTCTTTACGGTTTGAGAGAGATTAGTCTTTTTATTAGTTTTGAACTTCTTTGCTAGGAATTAAGGCAATTTTTATTGCCTACACATATGGCAAAAACATATAGCGTTTGAGATCTCTTTGCAGACACAAACCTAAAAGGAGGTTCATTATTATGGGAGATTTATGTAACTTACCATGAAAACTTGAGGTTATAGCTTTTTTATTTTTGTAGTGTTGGCAGATATTAATAAACCTCCGCATGAGAGACCTAAGTTTATAAAATTTTATGATCCCTTATTTTGTAACTATTAGTTTACTGATTTGGAATGTACTTAAATGTTTTAATATTAAAAAATATCTTGTCTAATTTGTCTTGGTCTAGAGCCTTTGGAACTCCTTATATAAAACATCTAGGGGTTTTATCAGTGACAAGAGTATTGTGAATTTTTTCCTCATTATGCTTCTACTTGTTAAATCAATTTTATTAGGCCATTGAGCTTTTTCATTTGAAGAGCCAAGTTTCTGTGTTTACTTCCTTTAGAAGGTATATGATTGTTATAATCTAGCCCATATACAGGTTATGTGGTTGCGAAAAATATTGTAGTTAAAATTCCGGTTCTATTAACATGCCAAAATATGGACTTCTTCAACCTATCAAAAACATTTACCTGTAAAGCCATCTAAAGGCTAATGATTTTATTTTGGTTGTCCAGCTAGACGAAGAATTAGACCGTGCAAAATGCCTTATTTCAGAGGGGGATGTGTCATCTCTTCTTCCAAACAAAGATCATGGTGCATTATCTTTTGTTTACCTTTTCTGGATTCCAGTTCTGATCCTGAATTGAATTTCCTTTTATCTTTTCCAATACATGATGTCCATGTCGATCGTTTTTCTTTATGAGCAGGAAAGTTCTTGAAGATGTTCCTTGGACCAGTGAATGTTCGGGCTACAAGGAAAGAGGTTCGTCTTAAAGTGAAAGAGGAGTACAACAATTACAGGGTAAGTTGATTTGTTTATCTGATTACATAGCTGTCTTTCATGTTTGAAAATTGAGTACTTCATATTTGATAAAGAGGGCATATTCTTGTTATTGTTGGATAATTAGAAGAGTGCTTAGTGTAAATTCTAAGGATTTGCATGCGTGTCTCTAGCTTTTCTATAGGCTTGAATGGACCATGACAAGGTTTCCTTCTCATCTATAGTGCAAATTTGCAGCTCATGAATACCAAATGAATGTTTTCAGACAGTTTCTGTGTTAGTACTCATGTTCAAGAAACTCTTATGTATCTGTCAACTTATAAAAACAGTTTTTGTTTAATCCTTCTTGAAAGAGCACCACCCTCAGGTTGCCAGGTCCGTTTCCAAGGTTTCCAGGACACTCTTGTCACACTTTCTTCACCTGTACTTTCACAGTTTCACTTCATTTTTCATGGTCTTTGTTTAAGTAGAAAATGCACAAAGTGTGGAAGATCAACCTTAGAAAACTAACATTTTATGGTGATCATGTAAACATAATGATGTATTGTTAAGAAGACTTAATTAAATGAGGGATCTGAAGGTTGTAGCTCTATAAAAACTTTACTTTTAATTTCTCCAGTGAAAATCTACCAATAAATCTGAACTTGACCAAACCACATGATAGTGTCTTTGTTCTATTGAAAAGTTAGATTGAAGAGAATCATCCAAAGCTTATAGGCAACCTAATCAAACATATTCTGAGCTGTTCCATTACCATCTAATCCTAAGTTATTAGTGTTTAGTGACATTAACAAATAAGTCTTCCTTGCATCTCATTGATTCTCATCCTTTTAAGAAGTAAAGTACAAAAGAGTAACAGTGGCATGTTCTGCTTTTGAGCACATCACATAAATTTGCAAGGTTAGTTAGCCATTAGGGATGCTGACTTGGCCATTAGTAGGAGATTTCTTTTCTTTATTCCCTGTGTTTCCAATTCTGGTAGTAGGCTTGCGTTGGTGGAAATTCTCATAATCTGTTCCTATTAAGTTAAATATATTACGTTAACATATGAAAGGTAGAACTAAGTTCAGAAATTCTGCTTCGTAACCTGACAATGCCGTCAGACAAGCATGCTGATATATTAATTTCATGACTATCCATAAACAATCTAGATGTAACTGGAAAGCAACCATCTTCTTGCTTGGAGGTTGACATAATTTTGTGAGTAAATGTGATGAAGATGATGTACTTTGCAATGTAGTGCACTGTGATTTTAGATGCATTATGAAAGAAAAGAAAACTTTCCATCAAAGCCATGCAATAATATGCTGTCATTATCTCTTAGTAGGTCAAAATCACATTTGACAGTAGCATAACTTTCTTTTTGCAGGATCGAACGGCCTTTCTGTTTCTTTTCTTTCCCTCCACCATGCTACTTTTAAGGTCTTGGATCTGGAATGGATGCTTCCCAGCATTGGTAGTTCAGCTCTACCAGGTAGATAGCACCTTTCAATTGCATATCATCACCATATGTTTTTGTTTGGAAGTTGTGGTTGAAGATGTTGTTTTGGTTTAAACGTTTGTTGTTTTCTTCCCAGGCATGGCTATTATTTCTCTATACAAGTTTAGCTTTGCGAGAGAACATACTCAGAGTAAATGGAAGTGATATTCGCCCTTGGTAATAATCATCCTTCCATCTTTTAGACATTGGTTAAACTTACAGTCAAGGGAGCATGTCAGGGTCATTGCTGATTTTAGTTTAGGCTAAGTAGATATAAAATCTGTCACCTAATGTTTCTCAGGACAATATTTGCTATCTCTGATTCAGGTAAACTTAATGTACCTATTTTGTCATGAAAGCCGAGTCTCGTATCTTGTCACTTATTTAGTGCTTTTCGTAGGGAAGATTGTTTCTTTTAGTACCTACAAGCAATACAACTACCACCTTTATTGTGTTCATAGTGATTTTATTTTGCTTATTATATTGATGCAGAATTCAAGTTAACAATATGGTTAACTTGATATAAAAATGCATCTGTTCAAGGGTATATTGAATTGGTACATCCAGCGTAGGATTTCAGTGGGTTCAGTTCACTTAGCGCAGCATGAAACCTGGAATGGCAATGAGGGGGCATCCACATGATCTGATATAATTAAAGATCTTCAAACCCTATCCACATGATCTTATATAATTATGATCTTCAAACCCTTTCCACGTAAACCAGCTTGCCAGCTGAGTTCAGATTTTGTGCCACCAAGCTCGACTATTATAATGCTTTGCCTTTTATTGGCGAGTTACAATGATGCCTTAATTATGAATACGGAAATCTCATGTCACCATTTAGATAGAGCAAATTACCATGTATATAGGGCTTGATGATTGTTTCTTATCTAGGACAGCATTGCTTTTCATAACACAATTTTTACATGTGCTCTTGCAGGTGGATATTCCATCATTATTGTGCTATGTTGATGGCTCTTGTGAGTCTCACATGGGAGATAAAAGGGCAACCTGATTGTGCCAACAAGCAGGTAGTTAATTTCTTATTTATATATTAATCTGATAATTATTATATCCAATCTAACACAAATTTTGCGCAGAAAGGGGTTGAACTGTTTCTTGTATGGGCGGTAATGCAAGGTTTTGCAATGCTTCTACAAAATAGATACCAGCGCCAACGGTTGTATACTCGCATTGCTTTAGGCAAGGTAACATCTTATATTTCTGACTTGAATTTTTATCATAGTGAATTTTTGCACCCTTTGGTAAAGCAAATGCTGTCGTGACTGTTTTACTCTTTGGTTTCCTATTCATCCGTCTAGGCGGATTGATAAATGATTAATCTTCAACTATTGTGCTTGTTTAATGGATAAATTTAGCGGATGCATATAATTTTTTTAGAGGCAATAACCCATACAAGAGATTATTGAGTTTGAAGGTACATGCTGACTTCTTTCTAATAGGACTTGGCAGAAGCCTTTAGTATCCGATAAGAGAAAAGACAGAAAATTCGGACTTAGTGTAGAAGCAAGCAAGCACTTCTCAACTGGTGTTTTGCATGCAAAATTTGTGTGGGTTACACTAATTTTGTCGCCTTCCAAATCTTCTGAATCTTTGTCCTTGTTTTTAGTGCTTGTAAGGCCCTTGTTTATAACCCTTGGAAGTTCTTTTTTCCTATTATTTTTATGGTTTTTCTTCTCATATGCTTTGCTGTCTTGTCCATCAAACAGATTTTTGTGTCTTTTTACTCTGTTGAGTCATGTTCCTTTGTTTAGGACTACATTAGTTTAACTCTAAAAAATAAATTGTCCTCTAAATATCAAGGGGAAAAGTTATTCACATGATTCCCAGATCACATCTCAACCTAACAACCTAATGAGAGAATAACATGGTTTGAGGTTCAGACGATGCAAGTGCTAATAAAATAGCATTATGGGCATATAAATGTCTACATCTCTGTAGGACAGGAGGTGTATCTGCAATTAACCTTTTTTTTTGTAATTTTATATTTCTCCATATGATCAAGTCTAAGTGCCATCTCTCTTCATTTTTCTCTCTTTGCAGGCTAGGAGAATGGATGTTGTGTGGGGAGAAACTGCTGGTGTAGAAGGCCAACTATGGCTTCTGTGCCCCATCCTTTTTACTTTACAGGTATAAGCTTAAGCTGCATAATTACGACCTCTTTGCTGGTTAGGGATTCATTTGTTACTGCTGTTTAGCATAATTTAAGATTCTAGCGCATGCGTCTATGAAAGATAAATCTCAAATGAATTGTGGAGTCACACCGTGCCAGCTACCACATTTTCATTTCAAGTGTATCTTTCATTGTATGCATCAGTAACCGAAATTACTCATACTATCTAAAACATTTTCTTTTTCCGAGTTTAGGGTTTTGAGGCGTACGTTGGGATATTGCTTCTTAAAACTGCTTTTGTTGGCGTTGCTTCCGAGTGGCAGGCAAGAAAACCTTGCCCTATTTTCTTTTGTTTCTTCTTCAAGAATATGTAATGTCTACCGTCTTGGCATGGATGTCTCTTGACTTCTACTTTGATAATGCAGGTCATATTTTGTGGCATCTTGCTGGTAATTATGGCAGTAGGCAACTTTGCAAACACGGTGCAGACGCTCATGGCAAAGTCAAGGTTCAAAGCTAAAATGAGACGGACAAAGAGCAAGCAAGATTTGGACCATTCTCTGTCTCCACCCTCTGGGAGATGAAGGAGGCTGCTATTGTGAAACTCTGAGCTCCCTCCTCTTCCAATGTCATGTTTGAGTTCTATCAGCAACGCTATTCATGTTTGTAAAGTGTTTTTTTATTTGTTTACAAATGAAGTGGTGCCTATAAGAACTGCTGGCAATCCTGCAGTTTACCTAACCGTGTAGAATGAGGGTGAATGATATCGAGTTTCTGTTTCAATAAATTAGTGCAATTATGAACCTTTTCCACCGTCTTTTAGCTTGGGAGCCTGCCTGAGTTGCACAAAGAACTCTGCTGGAGCTGAGAGGTGGGCTGATGTCATTATCATCAGAAAAGGGAACACTTTTTGCTGGAGGTTATTAGATGCCTGATCGAAGATGTTCGCGAGTTGTGACAGACAAATAACGTGGTTGAACATTTTATGACCATTTTACATTCCCTACGGTAATGAGGTGTTTTGATATATAATTCCTTCTTACAATTTGTACTTGCTGCCCATTCTAATACCCACACGTGTGAAGATACTTCGCTGAGTTGGAATTTTTATTTTCGGAATTATTGATGCGCCTTGGCTCCTGACACGTGCTATCCCTTTAAGACGTTGTTTAAGGTCTTGAGCAGGTACCAATAATCCTAGAGAAGGGACTGATGTCGCTTGTTAGTGAGACGCTCAATAAAAACTTCCGAATAGCTTTAGACTTTAGTGGAAGTCAGTGCGATTGCTCGTGAAGCAAGTAAGACCAGTTTGCAAGTATTTTACCTCCTCTGATCCTGGGTAGCAAGCTTGAACAAACTTCGTTTGAAAACTAATCCGGCACTTCTTTCGTGTTTGCAAGGCTTAGAACTTCTTACACGTGTCAACACCCGAGCCTCATAAGAATCAGTCCCTGATAGGCCCCCAAGCATTTTGCAACCGATTAACACTCCGCTTTCTTCTGAATTTGCTCATTCATCTGTTGAACCGGACATGAATTGTTGTCAATATTCTAAAAGTAAGAAAAAAAAACCTATATAGTACATGCATCTCCATCAGAAATCTGAAGACAAACGAAATCCCCAAAACTTTACAACAAAAGATGCAGACCGCAGAAGCAAAAGATACACAGGTGAAGAGGCAAAAAGAAGAATAGAATACATCGCGACAGTGGACAAGCTCGTACTATACAGAAACCTCTGAATGTAAGAAAAGAAGACCTAGCGTATCAAAAAAGAACGACGCCTTAGATAAAATCTGCAGTCTCTTAAGTTATACAGGATCTCTTGCAGGGCGCCCAATCAGTCTGCATTGTTCAGGTAACAAAGAACACATGAGTTGACCATTCATTTTAAGAAGTTCCCCGTCAATTCCACATCCAGTATTATTGTTTCTGGATGCCCTGACCTTCACCGATTTCACCTGAAAAGCCGTACATTCCGGTGTCAGGGAGCACACAAGCATGATACTTGCAGTTCAAACTTACTATAAAAATGAAAACAGAGGGCTAATGGATTGAACTATGCAATTGAGGTGGCAAAGTAATGACAGTTCCCCCTGCAATGATTGACCTAACCATACATATCACAGTCATCAGTTTTGTGGTAGTTGATGCGTATGCAAGAAATTTCAAATCCATTTCATTTTGATTTTTTAGCACTTCAAATGAAGCAAATAAACTTCAATAAAGTGGAATTTTTAAATTGAACAAATTCTCTTGAAAGGATTTGAGGCTATTCCATCTATCTCACACTTGTAGATAGGGCGGGATCTGCTTTGGATAGGATGGGTCACTAATCTTCAAAAATCCATAAATTTGGGTCGGGTTTGGATAGTCTCGCGTTTTAAGTTCCACACGACCCAGTTAACACCTTAAAATATAAAGCACACGAAGTTAAGTAAGGAGATTGAAAAGACACCTAAATGTGCTATTTGGCAAGCGGTTTAAGAGAAGGGACGGACTTAGCTAACTCCTCACGAGAGGTTAAATATGATTTTATACCATTTAGATTTGATAGTCAAAATGAAGGGTTAATTTTTTTGTGCTTGGCAAATAAAGAAGGCTTAAAGAGTTAAATTCTTTGTGTTTGGCAAATAAAGAAGGCTTAAAGAGGTTAGTTGCCATAAATATCCTAAATTAGTTAATATAATATTCTTTTTTAAAGTTTCATTCCTTACTGCCAGAGAGAATAGCTCTTAACCCCTGCCTCTTTAGGCAGATGAAAAGGAAACAGTACAGCACATACCTTAATGTATTCAACATAAGGCAGTGAAAGGTGCCGACCAAATTGCAAAAGGATAAAAAATCTTAATAGCCGAAATCTCCCACTTCCTTGGACCAATAGCAAGTCTAAAGCACTGTCATCATGCACAGCCTTCGGAGCAACGACCTGAGAACTTAAACTCTGAACGGTCTTGCAAGAATGGTTGCATACCAAAACACCAAGGAATGTTCCCTTCTTAACAACCCACTTCTGGTCTAACCTTGGGACAAGCTCCCTAGCTATCCCTTTCTCTATGTCATCTGGCGGCCCTGAAAGTTGAATTCCTGTTTCCCAATTACGCTCAGCATCCCAATTTGGCTCTGCATCCCACTTAGGCTCAGCATCCCAGAATGGCCCTGGATCAGAGATTGTTGAGGAAATATCTTCACTGTCATTCATTGCTGTAGCCGTCCATGATGACCTCGAGTCATTAGTAGTATTTGGGCCAGCCCAACCTTTGTCAGTCCGCGACTTTGATCTGGTCCTCCGCCAGTTTGGAGTAGTTGACAAGGGAAGTTGAGGGTGAATAACTTCTTCTGGTTCAGAAACTAGATTGCTCCTTGCTGAGGATAGGCGTTTAGATTTAGGGTCAAGGCAACGAACAAACTCAGATGGTTCGCTACTCGGCAGTGTACTATCAGTTGTATCCAAGTCCCCAGACTTTTTATTAGGAGTCATAACTGAATCAATACTAGATAAACTGGAAGCCTTAGGAAGGCCTCTGCCGGACCTTTGTGTCGTGTCTGTATAAAGGTCAGATGTATCAATCTTGTCATGACCTTCCATAACCTGTCTATCATCTGATACCTCCTCCAACATTGGAAGATACTCTAAATCAAAGCTGTACTTAGGCAAGCATACCAATTTAAGAAATCCAGCAACAAAATAGCGAAGAGGGCCAAAGCGCTTCTGATATTTCTCTGAGAGTTCCAAGACTGCAGCAAAGGACTAAAATAACTTGAGCATGTCAATGTACAAGTACTTTATATCTTATGCAAATACACATACAAACATAAAAAGATTTCCAAAATCAAAATAGTGAAGTGGGCCTAAGCACTTATGGTATTCCTCAAGAGTTCCAAAACTGCAGCAATAATAGCAAAATCAACTTTTGATAATATTTATTCAGCTACTCTTTGCCCCAAACCCCACACCCCACGCGCGCTTGTTGCTTTAATAGTGCACTACGCTGTTCAAAATAAGGATTATACAAGTTTTAAATGCACGACTGCTAAGCAAAAGCCAATAGATGGCTTAAAGTGCATGATTTAGAGCCCATCAGCACATCAAATTACGGATTTGTACATGATTTTTTGTCTGATATGAATTTATTTTATAATTATAATACCATACTGTAAAAGGATTGTATATATAAAATGCTAAATGAAAAGCTACAACACTGGATTTTAGAAAAATTGTACTTCAAATCAAACACGAGAACACGTGTCTATGAGGTTACCATCACTGAGGAAACCAAAATATGAGACTGTTGTGCCATAGTGGATGATCCCAGTCTGGATCCATTCAACAGCAAAAACATCCGTAGCAGTGAGACCCCCCTGGATCAAAACCAGATTGTCACTGCTGAGAAAAATGTAAAAAATGAAATTTTACATGTAAAATCACATGACAAAAAGTCACTCTATGTTAAGAAATATCATCAGCTATGACAAAGTTTATTATTAGATAACAACTTGCTTAAAAAATCAAGCAAACAGATTCTTCGACCAGACAGGATCAGGCGCGCTTTGATTATCAATGCTACTGCCTTCTTGCACGAAGGTTAGCCATAACATAAAGGAAGATAAAGTAGTAAAATAGCAATGATATATGATGATTCCATTATTGATATCCACTTGAAATAAAAAAAAAACAGTTTTGTTACCTTCACTATAGTCATTGCTGCAGAAATTGGATCTCGTACTCCCAAAATAGTCCAAACTAGTGAATTGTCAGAACGGAATTGAAATTGCTTCTTTCTGGTTATCTCTACTGAGTAAACCATTTAGAACCTGAATCGTGGTATAGTGTACAGAATCAGTTATCGATTTATAATTGTCTGGAATGCATCTAAGAATTCAAAAGTATATATCCATATCTGCTATGAGGTAGGTAGTGAACATGTTAGAGAAAAGAACTAGGCAGAGCAGTGGTACAGACCTATGACGGAGATTAAAGTGGTCAGATGCCAAGTGACACAAGAGTCTGAGAACTCATGAATATTTTATTATCTAGAGGTAGGGTGGTAATGTGGTTGCAGTTGAATTTGATTTATTCAGGTTCAATGCTCAACGTTGTATAGTTCTTTTACGATAGAATATCTCAGATATCTCAGATACATATAAAATAAAAGTAAAAGATACATATGGTTCTCATTCATTTAGGAAAATTTGTAAGCTCAGTGGATTATGTGGCGATCTTAGAACAAAACAAGCATCTTATACTTGTCTGTATGTCATAAAGGACATGCATGACAGAGTTGAAACTAGTCTGAGAATAATTGGAGGATATTGTAAAAAGATGAGATCATATTGAGAAGTCAACGAGATAGGAGAAGAAATGAAAACAAAAATATGAAGAGCAGATATAGAACCAGAGTGTCTAGAATTACTAGGGTCAAAGTGAACCGTACGTCCAACCCTAGTGAGTCAGTGCAAATTCCTGGGTAAGGTAACTGTAAACACAAATGACTATCATATGAAGAAAGAAAGCCTCATACACCACACAGTGTGATGGATACACCTGCACAGTAGCATACTTTGCCAGGGGAAAGAGAAGCTAGCTATTCTATGGCAGCATGTGCAATGGAATTCTAAACAGGAAATATTTCTAACTTCTTTTGTGTAAAGAAACATATTCTGCCTAGGGGAAATAGAAATTTACAAGGCATTTGGTAAATAATGCTTATGCAAAATGTCAATAAAACAGAGTTGAGAAAAATAACTGACCTCATTTATAATCCCATCGCCACCAACACATATAATTCCTGCAAAAACCATGTCAGCTGGAAAGACAATTGGATAAAAGACAGTTAGGACTCTAGAATTATTTCTTCATGAAGTATGTACCATCAGGACATGTGCTGATATCAACACTAGCAGCGAGTTCGCGTGCATGACCCGCAGCTGTAGTTTTGACCACCTCCATCTGGAAACCTGCAAGCTGTACATTTCATAGAATAAATAAACAGAAATGATCGCAAAAAAGATTTTTCAGACATTATTCACACTTCTGTAAGACATTAGAGAAGACATAAGTTTATGAAGGCAATAGAGTTGTGAACATCCCCACCCCACAATGTAGGTGATGCATTGGCAGATTTTGTAGCAGTCTAAATACAAAAGATAATGCAATATGCCTCTTACAAAATTGCAATTGATCATGACTTATCTGGTACAAGAGATACAGTTAAGCAATTATAGACATCTTTCAGGTCTTGCTAGAAAGCAGACACAGATGCAATGAGCATAACATTCTACAAACATGTCGATTGAGCAAGAGACTTTAGTTGAAGAAAAGAAATATTAAGGCTTGAGCATGCTACTGTTATAGGCTACGAGGTTACCTTACACTAGTAATTTCGATGTATTTGCATATAAATAAGATTGGCATGCAGGAACTTTAAATCTGTTATGGGTAAACAAATTTTGTTTTTTTTTCTTGACGGTGGCTTTTTGGTGAGGCCTAGAGTAAAAGATGAATCATATGTAGCCAAGCATCCTTAACGGTCTTGGACCATTGTTTCGTTTGACAAATATGTTGCTACTGATTACTGAGAACAGCAAATCTGATGCTGCTGATAATGTCTCCCTTTTTATTTCTTTAAACAAATGCAGGAGTAGAACAGACCTTAAACAACAATTTTGTCTACCTTAACCTACATAGCTTTCTTGAGAGTGCTACTTGATGCAAAACCAGAGAAAAAAGAGAACTTTGCAGAACCATGAACAAGTTAGACAAGAACTCCTCGTGTATGTTTATAAACAAGAGCGTGTGGTGGCTGCGCACAAATAGAGCGTTCTTCATTAGAAGAAGAGGAAGCAAAATTCTGCTAAAGTTAAATACACAGCTTGATGCACAAGCAGAGACAAAAAAGGGAACTTTGCAGAATCATGAACTTAAATAAAAACTTACGATGGACGTTTACGAACAAGTGCATGCTGTACAGGAATAGAGCATCCCTCATCAAAGCAAGAGGAAATCACATTCGGTTGAAGCTCAATTTTACGATCTATACATCTCTAGTGAGGTCATTATGTTTGTAGTTGTTCATTGTGATCTCTTGGCTATAATATGAGACCAATTATACTTGTAAAGTTGCAAATATTGAAAGATAAATTGGCTTAGTACCAGATATGAAGAAGAATAAATGAAAACTTACAAAGTTCAATATTTTATGTAATTCCAAGAAACTGAGAACTGAACAAAATCAATTGAACACAAAAACACACCTCAAATATCGGCTCCACTTTTCCATGGAAAACTTTACTAGAACGACCATGCCCTGATCGAGGGTTCAGTATCACAAGAACTCTTGGTGGGCTTTTACATTTTATTGGTGGTTGATCATAGAATGGAATGCTCGTGACTAAGTCAGAGGACTTCTTGGAAGAGACCATGGGATGAGGTACGCACTTCACAAAGCACTGCTGGTCTGCAAAGCCACTGACCCACTGAATGGCTTCTTCTGGACTAGATGCTAAGAAACAAAAATCTTTTTGACTCCTTTGTGGCTTAAAAATACATGTAAGTCGTGATTTTTTCTTAAGATATGAGTGCACAGTGAAATGTCGTAGACCAGCACTGTACGATACCTGCAAGGTTAATTGCTATCACAAATATTAAAATTATTGAAGATCACTAGACTGTAAAAAAGCATCACTTAGAGTTACTTTATTTGACAGAGGTTCTCTACAGAAATAATGCTTCCAATTATAGTTGAAGAATTCAGCTCAGCACAATAAAGAAGCCTCCCAATAAATTTCAAATGGATCTATGATTAAAGACCATTATCATTGATAATGAAAAAACATATGTTTATTTTATATAGTATTACACTTGTTAGTGAAATTCAATTGATAGTTATGCCTATGGATTCTTATCAAGAAAAAGTATAGTTGTCTATAGATTGCATCATGATCATCTCAACTTTCCTCCTAAAGACCTATAGGAAAAAACCTACCGATATAACATCCTCGAGCGACAGCATTTGAGATCCCCAAACCAGTGCTTTGCTTGAAAGTTTGGCATCACTGCTGTCCATGTTTGCAGTTGCAGACCCCCTTTCCTTATCAGCACTTGAACCTTTAGACTTTTTAACAAGGGACAGCTTTCCAGAGAAAACATCATAGCCCAACAAATCAGAGCGCTCATCTCCTACATCAATTCTGTGCTCAGAAGCCTTCGCCGTTTTAGGATCTTCGACAACAGTGTTGACCTCTTTTTGCTTTGAAGATTTTGTTTTTCCCCGTGAACTGCCCATGTGGTTCAGAGAGTGTTGTTGTGATACTCTCAATGAACTAATATTTTGAAAAAAAACTTATCCTTCACAGAAATGCAAGCCACCAACATTGTAAATTTTTAACAGTCTATTATAAGCCAAACAGTGCTCGTGCCACTTGGGCGATGTGAAAAATTCAGCATAAGCATGAAGCCTGTTTAAAACTAAAAGAACACAAGTTATGGTCTGTTGAAGCAAGCAAGAACTAAGTACATGCTTAGCAAGAAGATGAAGTTGCACCAGTATTGAAAAGTTTAAATCAAGTAAGTAAAATTACACAGAGTGTAAGTGGAATTAACTGCAAGCAAAATATCATATACAGACAGAAGTTACCAGATGCATACTTAATAAATGTAAGAATTGAAAACAGTTTTCTACAACCAAACAACATCATTCTAGTTATGTACATTGACAGGCTTGTAAAATCCAATAATGATCGAAATTTTCATTCAATGTCATGTCCAGAACCATAAGTCTGCATGATGTTGTAAGAAGCAAAAGAAAAAATAACTATGAACCAACAGTTACGCCAATTACCGGACATTTCTAAACTTACCTGCTCTTGATGTCTAGGAAAATCAAAAGTGGAAGCAGATTTTCAGTTATTCTTCAGCTCCTAGAAAGCATACTGAGGAAGCATTTGTTATCAGTACACTCCATGATGATTAAAGACCAAATCCAACAGAGAGACACAATTATCACTATTCCACTTATGGCCAAACCCAATACATTCTAAGAAAAAATATTTATTAATTCAGATGTAGGTGTCATATCAAAGCCATAAATTGAGTCACCTTTTGCGAAGTACAAGAAATCCAACTCATAAAAAAGATGTCTTAATTGAAAAGGTGAAAACACATGATCTACACCTCCTTCCCCATACAAGACAAGTTTGTCATGGAATGTAAGAATCCATTGAAGTTTTGCCAAACGGTTCAACCAAACAACAACCTCCACTTAGTGACAAATGGATGCAAACGAGCTCCTCATAAACTTTCATTCAGACACTATTTACTTTGTCAGCATTGTCATCTTTTCCATCACAATAGGGATGCTTATGAAAAAAAATTGACGAAGTTCTACAGCTGGTTGCTTACCTGATATTAACCCAGATTTAATCAGCTCTAAATTCTTGGTCGAGGAAGAATAAATACTGATTGCCATAACTATAAAGGCTGGTTGATGTCGTCCAAACCCTACAAATGCACCTAGTACCAGGATAATTTTTTTTAACTCTACAAGTATTTAATAACAAGATTCACTTTAGACATCAACGGTAACATAAGTTGCACCAAATGATAGATTGTATGACAGTTTTTCCCCCATCAAATGGGTGACAGATTGTGCACTACACATCTACAAATATGCACTGATACAGTAACTAAGGCCTGTCATCCCCTCAGGTAAGCAAGTACCAAGCAAAACAATGTAACCTTAATATTTATAACAGGATTCACTTTTAGACATCAAAACTAACTAAATTATGTCAAAGACAATACTACAGCTAAGTCAGAAGGGTTGTATGATATTAGGTTTCTCCACCTCGTAGGTTTCTTATTGAAGTAGTGTAGTATACGTCTCCATATGTGTACGCTAATAACAAAGAACCACCATCCAGTCAAATTACCAATCTCAAGCATAACATCCAACATAAATAACCATTTCAAACAAAATTAGAGGTTAAACATGAAAATAAAAACCACTACATCAAATGCCTCCACACAAGTAACCCAATCACCATGTGTGATTAACTAATATTTGTATTTTGTAGAGACCAATATGAATGTGTATATTCATATGCCCATATAACAATAAAATTCACATGCTCATGTTACAACGAACAAGTGAACCATAAATTAATTAATATTGATAGGCATTCAAAATTTTTATCAGACATTCTATGGCACATGCGACATGTTTAATACTAGCATTATTGACTTTAGCATGCAAAGGAATCCATATAGTCCTATAATTGATGTAATGTCCTGAAATCGATTGATCATGGTCGGAAGTTGATCAGTATGATCTTATGTAAAGTGAATGAAAATATGAGACCCGTGACTATTATAACATCAAAATCATTAAAAGTAACTAACAAATAACTAATGGTTGGAAATTGACGAATCGTGGTATTAATATGTAAATAATTATTTCAATAGACCGTCGATCACACTAATTACATTAGTAGAGGAATTATGTTTACAGTGGAAAATTTATTGCTATATTCCAATATTTCAGCAAGAAGATCAGTAAAATATACACTTTCCGAACTAAGGAATGATAGAAGCATCATATTGACTATCGATCATTCTTTATATACTTTTTCGTTTGGAACTACAGTTCACTATGCCCCGTCCAAAAGCCATAACACGTAAGGAACTATCCTACTTACACAAGAAATACCTATCCATGTGCTGCAAGCTATCTAAAAATCATTGGGAAACAAAGATCGGAACCCTTTCCTCTGAAGAATGCACTCTTGTCAGCCACCAAACAACTCGAATTCAGAAAATCAAACTGGTTTAAACAATACACTAGACATAATACCAACCTGGATTCCACACCGTAAAGAAGCACACAGCCACTGGCTACAAACGTCGAATGTTGGTCGAGATCATTATCCTAAAGGCCAAAGATAACCAAAGTACTCTAAAAAGGAAAACAAACAAAGCCTTATCTTAAGGCCATTACTTGTAGAAAAAGAAACAGCAACTATGTAAAGAAGCGAAGCAATGCAATAAACAAATGGCTTTGTGATAAAATTAAACCAAGCACCAAACTCACAGCCAATTAGAAGAAAACAATTGTCTCAATGATTGCAACTTTAGGTCCTCTTCAACCTACCTTTACCTAACACCAAACACTAAAACCCCAACAACTTTAAAAAATATCCCTAAATACTTGAACTTCATCAGTAAAGGATCAAATACTTACATTCCGTTAATTCTTCTATCTAAATTGGAAATCACAACTCCTGATCACAAATAATTACATGCGCAATCAAGTTCTCCGCTAAAATTAAACCAAAATATAAAGAATTCAAAGAATCTAATTGAGAGGTAAAGGGGGGGAAACCTGTACAAATGCTCTGATCCACGAGCAGATTCAAGATCGCGACTCTCGAGCTCCAAGGAACCCGAGCTGAAAGAGGACCGAATCGAAATCAGTATCCTCAATCCAAACCTAGATGTTTATTTATTATTATTTGTTTTCTCTTCGGAGAAGGCGAACGAACAAGGGATTTCGTAGCGTCGCCATTACTCTCAGACAACAAAAGAAAAAGAAAAAGAAAAAGAAAAAGAAATTTGAGAGAGTGAAAGACAGCGGAGCAACTTTATACCCGCGGAAAATTTTACCTGTGGGAGAGATACCGTCACTCGCTGCTTGAGCTCGCTTATTGGTCGGGTGTCGATTGAGATCACCGCCGTGAGGTTAAGCTGTGCCTGCTCCGCGTAGACGGGAGATATAAAGAATGGGATACTTTTGCAAACGTGCTGCTTTTTAGGCTAGCGTTGAAACGTGTACTGGAGAAAGTAATTTAAAATTAACCTGGTTTTTAAGGCCACAAAATTCCCCCTCGCATTGTGATTACGTAGTTGGGTCCGTACAAGTATCTAAATTAGGATTAATCGTTCATAAAGTATAAGACGAACAGAGAGCGTTGGGTATTGCCTTATAATTTAGAGGAGAGGTTGAATTTAGACCTAAAAGAAAATATGAAGATTTTTTATCTAGTGTGATCGAACTATTAGATTTAACGTAATATTCATAAGTCTAAGATGAATACTAGCTTTAAAGTTGTTATGCTTACGATTCAAATTTTACATTTGACTTATGCAGATTATTTCACGACATGTTGACTCGGTCAACCAAGTATGCACTTTAACTCCATAAAGTGTGGGATATCCGTACTCAGCATGTAATTTAGTCATCGCTCACAGACCTGACCCTCAAGCCCTGATATATCGATATGGGTCTGTGGTAACCAATATCAACAGGTTGGGTATTATGACTCGTCTCAATCCAACACAGTTCCTATATGATTGATTCGGACTATAGCTTGCCTTCAACATGTCATGTTAAGAGATATCAATTAAACAACCAATATCACTTATTGTCGACTTCAATAACTGGCCAATCTATAAATACGTCGGCTGTACCAATCTATGACAATGAGTTACCACTTTTGTTGCTCAAGTAATTAAATATATTACAGACCAAGTAACTACCTTAGGGGCCAAGCATACACCACAATAAGCCTTGCCCACCAAGACGGTGACATGTGTAGAGGCTGATCTGCCCTAGGCAATTAGTATAATTACGTACCCTTCCTGTTTGAGATAAGATAACTTAAGATGAGATAATCTTTAACCTAGTCTCACCTTTGCCGACCCGGTTAAGAGTCGTCTTCCTCTAAGACCCTAGCATATTTTACCTACTGCTTATGATGTCTTTACCAATGATCTGACTTAGGCATCAAAGAGGCATCCGCGAGCAGCCCGCCATCGTCAATCTGACACTTTTTCTATGATCTTAGACTGCCACTCAGACGCGAAGACCAACTTTTGTCATCAAAGCTGGTCGAGAAAGACCTTTACTAAGGGCCGTCCAATCTCACATACTCAATCTTGTAAGCTGATTTCGTGCATCAACAAAGCTACTTTTAGGTGAGATTTATATATTATCAGAAACTAATATCCAAATAAAAGTTTGTAATAACTTAATTATCCGGGTTAGGTACCGTTGGACGCCCGCGTGCCAATATAATATTCAAGTCTGCAAATTGTGGTTGATAATGTTATCATGCAGAGCTAAATTTTCGTGGGATTAAATACAAACATCACTGTAATTTAGAATAAGTTTTGGTGTTGATTTGTTAAAAAGTTTTGGTCTTTAGACTCTCACGTCACATCGAACGCCCGCCATGTTTTCTCTTGGATACATCGAAGCCTGCGGTCTTGCTTCCAAAACTATGCTTTCATGTTCTTTTCCCTTGATCATGACATGTGCGGGTCTATCCATGTCTGAGGCGGAACAACTCGAAACAATTGACCTGATACATCGGTCGAACATGGTGGTTGATGGCTTCAAATAGAGGCTTATAGTTAAAGAGCGAGCTGCAGTATTGGAGGGGACAGATGAGATGTCCCTCTCCTATTGCATAATGAGTTGACATGACCAGCTCATTATGCAATAGGGAGGGGACACCTCACATGTCCCCTCCCTTGGTCTCATATTTTAGGTCCTTAAGTCATTTTTCTTTGTTTAAAAACTTAACGATTATGTCAATAATTACATTCGACAATATCAAGATTGTTTTAATATAAAGAACTAGTGTGTGCCTCGTGCAAAGCACGACCTTCCCTTTTTTTTATTACTACAGTAATCTTGTTTTTCAATTGCTACAGTGTTTTGAATGCTACAATATTATTTTGTAAAAATGCTGCAGTATTATTTTGTAAAAATGCTACATTATCCCAGCTCTAAAAAATTTAAAGTGCTACAGTATTTTTAAATAATGCTACATTTTTCCGCCTATGCTACAGTAGTATTTTTCTTTGAAAATGTTACTATAAATCATTGTGTTATTTACTGTAGCATAAATAGTGATTCTTGGATCCTCCCATTATTATAGAGAAATAGATATGCTCATAGAGAACCAATTGTTAACACATTGCTCGGTGTGATTTCCTTTCAGACCTAGCCACTATATTCATATTAAATAAGGGTTCTCAATATTAGTCTCGTACATCTTTCATATTTTGAAATTAGCACCTCAAATTAGTGAAATTGTTATTAGGTGTTTTATTTCTTAAGTTATTTTGATTAGTCAAATTATTAAAATTGCTAGTAGATCCCCAAATACTTGAGTTATCTTGAAATTAGTCCCTCAAAATGGAATAGAAGAGTGATTATTTTAGAAATAGATATGAGACTAGTGGGGGGCCTGGTAGGGACCTGATAGTTCATAACCAAAATTTTTACTAGGTAATCTCTTAATTGCTACTTCTACTTCCATCCAGAGTGACTAATCTTAAATATGGTTTAAGAATTCGAGGACCTAATAATAATGTCAGTGATTTGAGGAAGTAATTTTAAGGACAATTTTTTGAAATAGACCTTTTCAAAAATAAAATTATCAAATTTGATCTACTTGTAAAATATTTATCAAAATCGACCTAGTTTCAACCACGTTAGCAAAACTAGGTCGATTTTGATAAAAATATTTTCGCACTCCACGGGATTGGCAATCCTGTGAAGTTAAATTGGGTGTTAAACTCCTCAGGATTCCCAATCTCATAGAGTTAATCATTTTTTTTTTCAAAACCGACCTAGTTCCCAAAATATTTATCAAAATCGATCTAGTTTCCGCCAACGTAACTAGGTCTACTTTGATGAATATTTTGGGACTAGGTCTATTTTGATAATTTATTTTGAGAATAGGTCTAATTCAAATATTTGTCCTAATTTTAAATGTGCTTTAGAATTGAAGGACCTAAATCGATTTCATTAACTTGAGGGACTAAATTCAAAGTTTGAAAGATATAAGGGACTAATACTAAAAACTAGGGGTGCATTCGGTCCGGATACGGCTCGGATATGATGCTTACCATATTCATATCCGCTTACCCATCTCGGATACGGATACGGATACGGATATACCTCGGTAAGAAAAACTTATAACCATATCCGCTAAAATCGGATACGGTTACGGATATACATGCGGATATGCATGCGGATACAAAACAGATATGAGAAAACTAGATAGTATTGAGAAAAACATAGTTCATGTGATACAAAAAAGTTCGTTAATATGTCTATTATAACTAAATAGTTAAGATTAGTCATCTTGATCATCAAAATTAACCACAAATCCATAATCTAAGAATCGAAACTATCGTAAGAGTATGACTAATATGTATTCGGATATTTCGGATACGGATACGGATATTTCACTACAAAACCATATCCATAACCATATCCTATCGGTTATAGATTTGAGTAACCATATTCGTATCCTAACGGATACGGTTACGGATATTTCATCGGATACGGATACGGTTTAGCACCCCTACTAAAAACACAATTAAATGGAAATAAAAATGGAGCACCCCAGTGAGTTTTGCGATGGAGCTGGGGGCACTTGACCCCACCTAGCCCTGCATTTGACATGAAGACATTCAAAATACTGCAACTACATTTAGGTAATTGGATATTTCTGAGACTACTATTTGAATGAAACTCAAAGATATCAATAAACAAATAAGATAACAAGAATTAACTAAAACAAGAGAATTCACAAAACTGTATCTTTTTTAATCAGTGAAATATAATGAGAAACAAATAACAGTAACAACAATTACAAAACATATTTCCTCCTTTTTTTTCAACTCTAACCTCCCCCAGCAGTTGGTCTCTATTACATCGCCCCGTCACTGCCCTCACCTGGAGAACATGGATCGGGAAGCAATTTTCCCTTGAAATGCTTAAAATAAGACCAAGTTTTCAATATTATCTGTGTCATCACAATCGCTAAATTCAAATTACATAAGCTCGAGATGAAATTAGTTAGAATCAAATATATACTCATCTTAACCAACAAAGGGTGGGCACAGGGGGCCAGTTGCTTCGGCTAGTGCTCGGGATAAACACGTGGGGAGCACAGACCGAAGTTTTACTTGGCTAGTGCACTCGGCCTCGAGACTATTTTGGCTTCGTGGGTCCGCAGCGCTGTTCACCCATGAAAAGATGAGACCCGGATATTAGCGAGAATCCCCTTCCGGATCGTAACCGGATCGTATTCTCGTCACTCAAAAAAAAAAAAAAAAATGCATATTCATCTTTGTTTCATTTATTCACGTGCGGTTACAAAAAAAAAAAAAACCCGATGTAAACTACACAAATATTAAGGCTCTATTTAGATACTATGGTGTTTTTGCCAAAAATAATACGCCATGCGTTTAGAAACCATGTTGTTTTTAAGCTAAATCGTCCTCAAACAAAAAACACATCACTTATTTGAAAACACCTTTTAGGTGTTTTAAGTTTGGTGTTTTGATTTTGAGTTTGAGAATGTGTTAATATAATATGTAACATGATATATTAAATGTAATTAATATAGAGTTATTATTAACATGCTTATTATATTATACTATACTATACTATACTATATTATAGTTAACTTAATATATTAGTAATATTTATTAAATAATATAAAAATATCATAAATAAAATATAAATAAGCTAATAAAAATTAATTAAAATATTGATAATAAATAATAATATAATAATTATATAATAATATACTACACGTACAGTAGTATAATCGCTATAATATTATTAACTTTTAATTAATAAATTATAATAAATTAATATTTATAAAATATTATATAATAGTAACAAATTTAATAATAACATAACAACATAATAATAATACTATTATTATAATATATTGTATAGTAAATGTAATATAATATATAAAATATTAATATATTATGTAATAAATAATATAAGTTATTATAAAGTAAAATAATTTTTAATAATAAAATAATTTATTGCTAACAAGTTTTAATGTAAAGATAATATATTCATAATATAATAATATTTATTTATATCATAAATACTAATATATTATTAAAGTACTATTGAGAAACTTTAACATATTAAAAACTGTTGATGCTCGATATCAAACAGAATAATCCAGAAAAGGATGGTTACGGGGTGATGAAAAATGATGGAGGGTCCACTCCCTTCTTCGACTTTATACATGGTTCTTGAATGAGGGCTTGATGTCCACGCTACACATACAAAAAGAACACGTGAAAGGGCGGGGACCGGTTCCCCCGTGGTTTCTCTGACGGTCGACTTAGTGAAACTCGGGTGGGGAAGGGGAAGGTCAAGAACCAATGTGGTTCTTAAGGTGTTTGAGTGCATTAGAGATGATGATCTCCTAGATTTTGTTCAAGAGGAGGAAGTCTTTACCTCTCTCTTTTTTTTATCAAGATGATCCTCTGGTTTGGATCAAATCGATTCTCTATAGCCCAACCTGGGGAAACGGTGTTGGAGTGCGAGCTAAGAGCCGAGTCATCCCTCGCTTTGCAGGTGTCGGCTGGCGACTAGAGGGGAAGTTACTTCAGCCTAGAGAGGATGCCTCCGCATTTTCTAAGAAGCGTGACAGAAGGTATGCTGGCATGCTGAATCATCCCTCGCCTTACAGGTATCGGCTGGTGATTGGAGGGGAAGTCATTTTATTATAGGAGAGTGTGTCTCCGCATTTTCTGGGAAGTGATTGAGCTGACAAGTCATGGAGACCTTATTAGGCCCAAAATCTGGATAAGGCTTATCCGAAGTGGACTGAGATGTTGACATATGCTCTGAGATAGAGGTTTGGGGATGAGGCCGAGTTCTTAACTTAATCGACGGCAAGGAATGTCCCTCCAGTCGTTTTTGAGAAATGCCCAGTGAGTGGTCGAGTGCCCTAAGTAGGGTCATCCTTGATGATAGGGTCGACGGACACCGCCTTTCGCATCGACTTAGGAGTGTCGTCATGTTTGACTGGTTGGAATGTCGTCTCGTCTTAAGCTAATAACCGTCTCTCGAGTCGATATAAAGACGTCGACTCATCTAGGAGGTCAGGATCTCTCGTGCCGACCAATATCACCTCTAGTGTCGACTCCAGAGTGTCTGCTTGATGAGTCGGTGGGGCCGAGGTCTTTGTGATTGTGCCTTAGGTTTATCCCTGATAAGATACTAAGGTCTTGTGATTAGCCATGATGGTCGAGTTGTACTGGAGGATTCAACCATATGTTGTGCCTTGGACTTACCTTGATAAAGAGCCAAGGATTTATAATCCGACTGAAGAGTCGTTGTGCCTAGGGTTTACCCTGAAAAGGTACGAAGGGCTTAAAATTCGACTGAGGTGTTGAATGCCTAGAACTCTTGAGAGTTGACTAGGGCTTTATTTCCCCTAAGACCGAGAGAAAACCGTGGGAGTCGGCCAAAGAGTTATGCCTTGGGTTTGTTTTGCTAGGGCTCTTATCGTATCATTTTGTAAATATCCATATCTTAGGTGTGAACACCATAACAATTGGCCTCTTTTACTTGGAGTCGACTTTCAGTCGGCTCCGAGAGAAATAAGATATGCTCTGATCAATACAAGCATGCTGAGGACGAGAAACTGAGAAGTCCCTGTCTTAGAGACGTGACTTGTCATTATTAGCCACCATTGTTAGCTCCGCTATTCATGGTTGACGTCATCAAAGATTTAAACCGTCTTTTTGGGAGACGAAGTGTCATGAATAGAAAGGAAGATCTTCCACTTTTCGAGTATTGGGACGTGGGGCATTAAATGAGGGTGGCGCTTCGTGTTTTCAGCGAACCGCTTCAGATCCCGAGGTGGATCTGGCCTGGTCGCTTCAAAAATCACCGTGTCCTTTGAAATCCCTCTATACTCTTCCTTGAAAGCTTATAAATAGTCTCTTGATGCTAAGATAGTTCTTTTACGAACCTTTTGCTCTGAAAAAATCCTGATATTCCTCTAAGCGTTCTTAAGTAAAAGTCTTCCATGGCCTCTCAAGTTTCAAACTATTAGATATCAGAGTTCAAATTATCACTCTTTCGTTTCTAGTAGGACCATTTGTACTTTTTTTTATGGACCATTTGGCACCGTTTGGTACGCGGGAATGGGGTGGAATGGAATATCATTCTCACTTTTCATTTCCTCATACCAAACAAAATTAATTTTTAGATGTTGGAATGACCATTCCCATGAAATAGCCATTCCCACTTTTTGTGGGAATGAGCATTTCAAGTGAGAAGATAGGGAATGATCATTCTCATTCAAGGGGAGAATCAAATTAGTTAGGTTTTTTTTTTCAATTATACCCATATTAATAATAAGAATCAATTTAAAATCATGGCTTTTGACTACATATTCTCATTTTCTCTTTATTTTTTAGGCTCCACCGATACAAAATAATCTTCAATTCTTCAATTCAATGGTAATGTTTATTTTCTTAATTGATTTCAGTACATGCATAATAAGGCTTGAGGATAGAAAATCTGTACTGTACAAATGAGTTAATTTATAAGGTATTATAGAAAATATGTAAGGTACTTTATCAAACGAGTCAATTTATATATCTAGAACTGTGGATTGTGTATACCATTCTTTATATTTTTTTGGACCTATGAAATATATATGCGATAATCTTTTATTTATTTTTATTTAAATTTTTAAGGCTAAGAAATAGTGAGAATTATTTAAAAAATATAAACGAAACATACACCTGATCGATAACATGCGCATTAGTATAACACATACCTAGATTAATATAACATATGCATAAATAATTTTTTTTTGTTATTATCATTAATGTTTATTTTTTATCTTATTAAAAATCTATGTTGTTATAAGGGCATTATTAGAAAATGAGATTACATTCCCACTTGTGAGCTAGTGATACCAAACATGGGAATGAGAATTAGATTTTCATTCTACATTCATTCTACAAACGCACCCAAATAAGAGAATGAGAATGATCATTCCATCCTCACATGCATTCCATTCAATTTCTTCTTTCATTACATTCTCATTTGACTTCATTCCCGTGTACCAAACGAGACGTTTGTACTTTAGCGGCAAAAAGTTGACACACTTTTAAACTTTTGCTCCTGAAAATTATGTTTTGATATTTTTGATGCCTCAAAATTTTATTTTAAACTTACCCTCCACGTCATTAGAGTGTAAATTATCCAATCTAAAAGGAACATTTGGGCATTAAAAACAAAAATAAAAAAATAAGTTTTGAACAACCAAAGCTCATGTGACAACTTTATAGTCCCAAAATGCAAACTATCTTTTTCTTTTAAAAATATATAAAGACTGAGGGAGGTAATAGATAAAAGTCATTTAGATACTCCGCTACTGAAACCGCAAAGATCGCGCCCTTTTCCCCTTTGGATTTCGAGGATTTGGAGTCCCCGCCGCCTGCATCCTCGCCTCAGATCTATTCTCTCCCTGTAATTTTTCGCCTTAATGTCATTCATCATTTGTATTATTTTTCATTTTATTTTGCCTAAAATGCTTAACTGTACCGTGATTGTTCTATTCTTCAATATTTACGATCCATCCAAAAACCTAGGGTTTTGAATTGTTCAAAAATCTGCAATCTATAGTTTTCCCTGGAGTTCCATCGTCGTACTTGCTTAAATCGTGATCATGTTATCATAATTATGTTTATGTTTGCTATTGTTTCGTAGAAATTATCGAAATTTCCAATATTTTTTCTTTGATTTGCTTTTATCAGATTATTTCCTGTTCCTTCTTGAGATGTCTATGCCTCACGATACCAATCATCGATCTTCATTCATTTATAAAAAGCAAAAGCGTACTTAGGTATAATTGCAATTTTGCATCATTCAAATGAATGAATGCATGAATGAAAAAATAAATGAAATTATCATCCTTTGTAGCCTTAACCTTAAAGATATTAACTGAATGTGTTGAGGTGATCATTTTTTTGTGTGGCTCCATCATGGATAGTTTATATAACCTGCTTAAAGAACACGCTTCATTGATATATTACTCGCAAATTGCAATCCACCAAATATAATACCCTCCATAATTTAGTCAACATCAAAGGCTGTATGTTGGCCCTTTTCATGTTTTTCTGCCATAGTAATCGAACTACCAAACTATTGGAAGAAATCTCTGATCTAGTATTTTTAATGGAGACAGAGAGTTGTATGGAGGGAAAAGAGTTGCAAGAAGTTGCATCAGTTTCATGAATATTCCTTTTTCGTTCACCTCTTTTCAAAGTCATTTACACTCATAAAGCCAGCATACATTTTAACAGTAAAGGTTACACTTACCTTTGTTTCATTGTTTTTCTTGCTACAATTTGAATATGCCTACCTGCCTCTAGTTTTTTCCCCTTAGTTGTTGCTCTAGACTGTCTACAAAGATATGTGTAGTGTCTCATAAACAGCCTCTGTTTTGTTTTTTTGGGAATCTCTTGGTGGTATTTTCCGCAAATACTGCAACTATCCACTTGCTTATGATTCTGATACCGTCGAATGTTTTGTGATCCAAAAGAAGCTGGCCTGTGCTATCTTCTCTCTTCACTTGTGAATCTGTGATCATTGTGTTTTTCTCTATCAAGTGAAATTTCCAATTTCTCAATATCAATGTCCTTTTAGAATATTGTAAGCCCTTCTCAAACATTCCATTACTTGACTTCTTTCAGACCTAACAAAATCAAGAGCATATTAAGCCAATCTCCTAAATATTTTTTTTTTCAAATTGAGCTACCTCTCTCCTTGTGCCCCCCCGTAGGCATGAGATTCAAAAATGTTGAAATGGCTCAGGTTTTGTGTTCTTATTGTTCTTGATGCTAACATAACTCTTACTGATTAAGGTTTATGGTTGTTGGGGAAAAAAAACTGTTACATAACTCGTTCTTTTGCTTTATGTAACCTAACAGACCGTAAATATTATGTAACCTTTTAAATAACTGAAACACATCATAACTATATGCTATTACAATAAAACATGTGTTATTTCAGTATAAATTACATTATTTCAATAGAATATTTGTTTTTCTAATATAACTTAGGTTATTTCAATATAATTTATTATAGACTTAAGAGTATTTCCTTTCTTAAAATTTGAATATTAAGTAATTACTTTTTTTATTTGTTAAGCCTTCGTGGCTTATTTTGGTGACATCATTACGTGATTGTGAAATTATAAATATGACTACCAAATGATTGTGGAAGTATGAATGAGATATAAATTTGTAATTAGATATATAACTATTCTACAGCGAGGCATGTTAGTAAATATGTATAACCTGTATTAAATTAAATAATGTTTGTTAAAATAACTTTTGTATTTTGACTATTTATTCCTAATTTTTAAAATTATTATGAATATCTTTTATATATTTTTAAATTAAACAATAAGAAAGTACGTAAACTACGTTACGCGTTGTGCTTTAAGCTATCAAGAGGCTTTAAGTTACACATTACCATGTTTTTCAACATTGCTTAAGACTCGAGAGTGTTCTCTTTGATTTTTTGTTTTACACTTGAATTGTTCTTTTGGATTGATTGTTAAGCATTTATGGTGTATTTTTGTTGAGAAGTTGTGATCATACATTTGATTTGTAATGTTATGTTTGAAAATTTTGATGATTTTAGTTAGTAAAGTCATGTGAATATTTTTATTTGAAAATTTTGGGTGTCGAAAGTTCGTATGTTGTATATTATCAGTTCAAGATTATATAAACAGTTTCGTATACACTATGCATTACATTGTTTAACATTTTACAGTATTGGTAGGCGAGCATTACAATATGTGTTTTCGCTATTTTCAACATATATTGACCTTCAGCATGTAAGGACACAACTTCATGTTATTGCTTCCAAATTTAGCAGTTTAGGTGTTAGCATGCCAGATAAAGTACTTGGCCCCAACTGCAGAGCATCCTAGTATAATGTCCAATAACATCTTCATTTGCGGGATTTAATGATGAACATGATAGTCTGTGATGACCTTGTTGAATCTTTTTCATTCATAGAATCTCATAACTAAATTGTCATCACATGGACTTGCTGCGTTTTGATGTATCAAAATACTATTTGACTCCCACTTTTCAGTGGTTTCCTATATTATGGACTGTCATAGTAATGGATTGTTTGATAGCCATTGTATGTGAACATCCAACCAAGTCAAGAGTTCGAAAGACTACCAAATTTACGAAACTGAATTGCAATGGTCATCACCTTTAGCTCCTAGCTTTCTCTTTCTTTGTCTTTAGCTCTTCATGCTGACTTGATGGAAGTGTTGCATCTTTATGGAATCATAAACTGCTCTAGGAATGGGCTGTCCAGTTCATGATTCTCTGGTAATTTTTGGCAGAAGAAACTACTTTGTTCTATAGATGATTGGGAGTCCAGTAAGTTCGTCATAATTTCTTATGGATAATGGAAGCTTAGACATATTGATGGATCCAACTCCACGTGATGGCAGATCCATCAAATGTTAGTCCACTTTGAATGTGAGCAGACTCTCAATTAGCCAAGTAACTTTTGAAGCAACTGTTTTAACTTATAACATTTTGGGGTTTGAATAATTGACTTTGGTTTGTAATCTAATTCCTTTTGTAATTGACTCTATCACCTTATAACATAGCACGAAGTAATAAAACTCGGAATCCACCAAGGGTTGTTCTTTGAATCCACAAAGAAAATATAATAAGAGAATTTTATTGATAAAAATTATCTATCCATAGGATTTACAATTCTTCTTCTTAAATAAAAAACAAAGCTTACTCCTAATAGGAATAAAATTCCTAAAAGAAAGAACTAATTCAAAACTACCTAAAAGACTCCCTATAATAGAGGAAACAAAACAGTTTAAACTAAATCAATATTGAATTTATTTCCTAATCTAAACAAGACTATAATTTATTTCTTAAAATAACCTAAAAGCTTATTATTTCTGAAAATTTGCCAAAGAATATGTGATACTGATGGGCTTCTGGGAATCTGCCACGATGATTAACTCCGTCTCGTCGAGATAGGCGATTTTCGTACATAATATGTTAGAATCTGCCTTCCGTATTAAGAAATATAGTTGTTTTTTTGCATTCAATTCAAACTCCCATTCAGATTTGTTTTGCTTCAAGAGATGCTACTGTTTCATGAATTTTTCTGCAATGTTCGTACATCAGTTTCCCCTTATCGAAAGAAGCTCGACCCCGAGCTTATTATTATTTTTGAATAGTAGCTTCCTCAATAAACACTTCTTTTCCTACGTCGATCAGCCTTGTACTTAGCATCAATTATCTCCATTTATTTTTTTACGTCCTCTGCAAGGACTTCTTCTAAATCAAACTTGTGCATAAATCTTTCCCACATTATGTTTATGTGACTGACAGCGTATGTATCCACGGATGACTTGAAAAACTCCTTGAAATATGTTCCTTGTTGTTTCCCATATTCTAGTGCTGAAAGTATTATCTCAAACTTCGTGAAATTATTCACAACTTTTTTTCTCAAAGAAGAAAATTTTCTCTTACACTCCATACATAATTCTTTCATTACACTCCATACACAATTCTTTTATCTCCTTTGTCTCGAGCCCTCCAACAAGCAAGTCACACATATCATCAATTTCCTCGTTCTCTATTATAACTTTCGTCTCCATCGGGACAACATCAACATATGTAATATCACTCACAATCTCTTTGGGAATATCCTGCACGATAGCCATATTTACTAACATATCGTGATTAGCATTAGGAATCTCATGCACAATAAGAGTTTGCACCTTAGGAGGAATCTTAATGGTGACAAAATCTTTGTTTGCAGTTGAGATTGTCTCTTTGCCCGCCACTAGAAAGGTCTTATCATTAGCAATCTCTGCCTTAGATGCCTAGGTACTATGATTGATATAATTGATGAAGTCTTCTTTGTTGCTTCTTTGGCGCTCTTCACAAATCCAAACTCTTAGATGAATTGATGCTTTTAGTTTTGCCACTATCATAACTAGTGTGAGAACTCTCTGAAAATGTCTATGATGAAGGTCCTTTGTTGTTCTGCTCAAGTTCTCACTCCACCTTTTTTGCTATACGGACCCTATCAGCTAAGGTAAAAGGATTTTGCAAAGATATCCGACATTGTTTGTAGTTAGAAGGCAACAAACAGTCTCAATAATTTCTTCATCTTCGCCCATGTTCGACCGAATGTCTTCATTGATGATATCGATTCATCAATAATTTGTCCCATCATGCAGATTCTTTTCCTTTAAGTTTGTGGATCACTAACTTTACTTTCAATCTTCTGGGATCATCTCGTACTTGAAATATGTATCCACCTCATCAATCCAATCAAGGAAATCATCAACATGAAGTCTTCTATTAAAGGTATCTTTAATCCTCCAATGTCATAATTCTATCGTCTTCGGAAGCTTCTATGATCATCACTATTGGATTTATCATATGAAGTTGGATCTC